GATAGCGAGAGATGCACAGGAAGGAGTAGGGAGGGATTTAGAAATTCACAATCCTTTTTTGGTTTGGATCAAGAGGAGAGATGCTTCTTTTGCATGGTCTCTGGCCAAAAAGGAAGGTTGCTTCTTGGATTCTCTGAAATAGTGGGTTTTCGCCCCAAAGCTTGACTTTTGAGTCTTTATTGGTAAAGAGAACAATAGTGACTCAGTTACAACCTACATTTGGCAGCTGTGGTCACGCTGGAGTCAGTGGGAATGGGAATCCTATCAGAGCTGCCAGGTCTGAGCAGCAGGGTGCTGACTGCTGGCCACTGGGGTACAGACTGTGTTTAAAACATCAGTAGATTCGGGTGCAGCCGCTCAGTGGACAGAAAAACAACAATCTGCGAGCTTCCATTCAACCTGCTGGATCCACTCAGTCTCCTTAACCAGCAATGTTAGTGACCTTGCTGCCTCCAGCCTGGAGGAGAAACACAGTTCAGCAAACTCCCTCTCTCCAGCCATGGTCTCACTTGTGACAATGGGAGCCCCAGTCGCCCTACCAGGCCCCCTCTTCTAGATTTTCCGAGTCTCCTGCAGGGGCTGAATGCACACCTGTCACCTGCTGCTACCCTTCGCCGCTGTCTGGAGAGCCAGGCTGCTGAGGCCTGTCAAGAGTGGTCAGCATGCCTCGTTGCTCTTGGAGCCACCACACTACCTCCTGCCCATCTCAGCTGCAGCTGATTCTTTTCCTCTACAATGCTTTGTGACCTGGTATGGCTTTCAGAGAGACCATCAACCTGGGGACAGAGATAACTGACAAACTTAGAGAGCTAATTCCTGCAGATCGCTTTCATTTTAGTGTCCAGGCTAGCCCTGGGAGTAAGCCTCATTGTGAGTCTCATTTTACAGGGTGGGCCAACACACCAGCCAAGGGAGGGCTGGGCTGTTCACCTATGTTCTTACGGGTCCATGCCCAGCTCACTTGTGCTCCCGAGTTCAGAGCCTAGACGTCCATTGTTATGTGTCCCATACAGTATGCATGCCAGCTCAGTGAAATGACATTACCAGCCTTTTTGGCCCTCTAGCCTCTCTACTCAGCCTTTAGAGATACCTGGTGCATCATGGGAACTCAGAGACTATTTGGCAAATAAGTGTAGCTTCATTTCCTGGAGGGGGTTATCATGTCCATCTTTCCTGCCACTCAGACCCCTAACCCTTCATAGGTAGGGGTCTAACAAATGGGCTGTCACTTATGTCCCCAAAATGCACCCGAGTCTTCTAGCCTTGATGGCTGTAACATAATTTTACCCACGTATCTGAAATCCCAAATCATCCAGCAGTGGGAGACTGTGTGGCTTGTGACGTGTGCTGGCTACAATCACTGTGTGATGTCCTATCCTATCCTAGCCCTTCCTGGGCTCTCTCTTCTAGCCTTTGCCCCAGGACCCTGGGTCCCTTTTCAGGACCACATTTCCAGAGAGCTGCTGGCCTCTAAGATGCTAGAACCGCTTTGTGCTCTGTTCAGATATGAAGGAGGCATCACCTCCTGGGTACATACCTTGGCTGCTCCAGGCTTCATCGGTTGTTGATATTTGTGCCTATAGCTAATCAAAATACAGAAGAAGGTATGTTCTGCTGGTTCACGCTGTGGCTTCCCCCTCCATGAACCCCAGACCTATATCAGGTCGGCTGGTGTGAGTATACATGTGTGTGTGTGTGCATGTGAATGTATGTGAAAGAGAGACAGAGACAGAAAGACAGGGAGGGAGAGAGAGACGGAGGGAAGGAGGGAGGGTGAGGATGCTGTCTTTCCCATTTCCTTGATTCCCACACTGACATTGAACTCTCCTTCCTTCCCCAGAGATACCAATCAATTCTTGGATATAGACATTCGGTTCCTCACCTTCCTCTCCACTTCATCAGGCAAATGCAGCCACATATGGACTCATTTTAAGGATTAGGCGAGACCACCCCCACTGTCACCCCAAAGCTACAACCCTAAGATCAGCCCCTCGGTCCAGACATCAGGTAAGCTGCCTCGTCAGAGTGACGACACCCAGCTTTGCCAGCGGGTCTGGTCTTTCTAGATTTACAGCCTGGATTCTTTCCAAGCTGGTAGCACTGAAGCTTCTGCCTCCTCCCTCTCAACTGCCTGTGAGGCCCATGGCGCTAAATAGAGTACAAAGAGATGTTTTAGCAGAATCAGTCTTCTGTCTTTCTCAGCATCTCTTCCCATCAGACAGCCTTGGAGTCGCCATGGGAATCTGTAGAGAGGACAACTGACTGAAGATACATTGGTTCAGGTTTGTGAGAGTGTATGAGGATTGTTTGCCACCAGGTCTATAGAGGGAATGGGAAGGGATGGCAGGAATTCCCCCATCACCCATGAGAGGACCTGTCCGCACCAATGTATCAATCGTTTCCAACATGTCCAGAGGGGTATTTCTTAGACTTTCTCCACTTGTGGCCCTTTACATCTAAGACATTTCTATATGACCATGGAATTTTTAGGTATGCCAACTAGGTAAACAAATCAAATGGTTATTGGTAATAACTCACAAAGGATTTTATTCTAGAACAATTCTTTGGCGTGCTTGTATTTTTACTATTTGTGAAAGACAAAAAAGTAGATTTGCATAATGAAGAGATAGATGATACTGTGTCTGTAGCTGTAGAAGTTCAGTACGATGATGTGTCTTCTGTAGGTTCACACTGTAGCTAGCATCCCTGGAGCCCAGACCTGTATTGGATTGTGTGTGTGTGTGTGTGTGTGTGTGTGTGTGTGTGTTTCACATGAAACATTCAATCTTGCCTGAATATTTAACACCACAGATACCTCCTCAATTTTGTTCAGAACTGCTGAATATCTTTATTTTTATGATTGTCAATGCTGAGAATGCTGTTAGGCATACATATGCAGTACAACATAGCAGAGGCATGTTGAAGGCCATGTTAGATGTTCTTGGGAATTCTTTTCTTACTCTCAAGCTAAAATTCATGTAATGATTTTGTGTGAAAAGCACGTCAGGAATTCAAACAGCAATGTTTCACATCAAGCATTCTGGTACAACACAACCCAAAGCTAACACTAGCTTGATACTTACATTCTGATGAATGATGGCAGAAGAATACCCTCTCTTATATCCCCTGTAATTAAACAATTAACATGATGTGCACCATAGAAACATGGCGATTGATAATATACAAAAGCCTTAAACCTGGGCCAAGTATTTCAGGCAGTGTTCCTTCATCACATGTAGCAGGATGGCATTGCACAGTGTTGTTTCATCTTGAGTAACATGATGGCTTGTGCACTGCAAAGTGTATGTGTGTGTTCAAAACCAAAGTTGTATGGCAGTCATGTAATGCAATGTAATGTAGTGAGCACATAGACTTATGACATTGCTTGATTTTGAAGTAATTTTTGGCTGTTGTACGTTCAGAAAGTTCTTATTACTGACAAATTTTTCATGACCCCATGGTGAAGGTTCTGACCCACAGTTTAACAGGCAGTGGTCTAAGGTACCTGGGACTGGTATAATGAAGTTGGAAATATAAATGTAAATGTAAATGTAAATATAAATATAAATATAAATATAAATATAAATGTGTGGGACCAGAACTTACACTGTGGAAAATTTTCTCATCCTCATATTCACACATTTTTTTCCTAAGTGGAAGATTTGCTTCCCATCAATGCCTAATACAAACTACCACCTCAAAAATCTGAAGGGAAACAAAACAGTCATGCTAAGAGAAAGACTGGATTCTCCTTTTTCCTCTCTCTATAGAAAATAATACTTAACAGGATAGAAAGATACATCAGTGGGTGAGCACTGGCGCCTCTCCCAGAGGGCCAGAGCGCAGTTTTCAGCACCTACATGGTGGCTTACAACTGCCTGTGATACAGCTCCAGACCTGATGTCCTCTTCTGGCCAGTTTGAAATCTTTGTACACACACACCTCACATGCATATACACGCAACACAAATACATACACATCACAAGTACACACCACAGATACCTCACATGTATATAACACATATACACACACACCACACATACATGTGTCACACACACAACACATGTACATACACAATACACATATATACACACTTCACATATACATACACAACACAAGCATATATACACACACAGCACACCTCACATTCACACCACATATACACCTCACATACACAGACATCATATAGACACACACATGCACACAGACAATACACACAACACACATACACACTCACACAACAAACATACATAACACATACATCTCACATACACACATAAACATACACACTGTACATAAACAGAACAATCATCCCACACATACACATGTACATACGTACACATACAACATATATGCACACACAAACATTAAATAAATTTCAAAACATGCAAAATACTTTAGAGCCTGAAAGCTGCCTTGCCATAGGTTCTTGGAACAACAGTGCCAGGTGTGGATTTCATCCTATAGAATGACCATAAATGAGAGACGGTAGAATGTTCACCCTGTAAGGGACATCTATATCACACACACAGTCCCAAGAGCTTAGAAATCATTGCTGAAGAAAGGGGCAGGAAGATTTGAAGATCACTGACCATCGATAACGATAAGGATACATTGTTTTCCAGACATGACAGAGCAGTTGCACACATAGACTCACAGAGATTATGTGGACAAGATCTGAGCTCCCTCGTGCCAGACAAAACCCCAGTGTGGGATGGTGAGGCAGGCACCGACTCCCACCATAGTCAAGAAATTATTGACTGTTGATGGCTGGAAGAGGGCGAGTCAGCGTTCTTTAGAAGTATGATCTCTGGTAGGTCGACCACACTCCAGTGGATGTCTACACAGAATTATACTGCCTGAAATTCCCAAAGAACAAAGGGAAAGGAAAGGAAAATTCCTCCGTCGGCAGCTTGGGGTTGTAGCAAGTGTGTCGAGTCCTTCAAACTCGATGAAGGAAGAGACATGTCGGCTGGGGTGTCTGAAGGCCATCTCTTGTGTGGAGAGCCAAGGGTCTTCTGGTAGCCACCTTCAGATCTTTGCTATGGCTTCTCAGGTGTCTTTCTGAATGGAGCAAGAAGGACAGAGTATAGCAGTTCCAGAAATGATCTGGTGTCCACTGTAACTTAATAAATGAACCCTGTGGTGTAATCATTAGGCTCCTTATGTGCTTAGTTATCCAACAGCACCCACTAGAAACTGATTTTCAGCTCTGCCTAAAGCCAGACAGATTGCTGGGCCTGCCAGGATAGGACCAGGCATGTGGGCAGTGGCTACACCACCAACATCCAGGTACTGTTCTCTGGGAGACAGCCTTTCTTTTAATTGCAACATAGCTCAGAATACTCGAAAAGTAAGTGTTATCCCCACTTTTTGAAACATACCACAGAGCTTGTACAAATAGATGTTGCTTTTTTGCTGTTTCCTTTTACCAAATTTGGTTTATCTTTCCCTCCTGCCCTCTGGCAGCTCGGACAGCATGGTTAGTGCTTAGTGGTTTGTCACGGGGCACTGGCTCTTTCGAGTTCAGGATCTGTCACTTGGGTCTATGTGGCAAAAGAGGTGGATTACAAGAAACACATGTTTAAGAAATTTAGGAAGGGGCAAGGAAGTGGCTAAGATCATTGGCTAATTGGTTTGTTAGGCCAAAATTGCTTTTCGGAGCTCACCACTGTACCATTGCCAATTCTTAAATAAGCGGTGACCTGCCTTGAGGTTGCAGTGTGGATGACTGGTTTGGAAAGGCGAGGGTTTCTCTCTCCTTGTTTGTCCCTGCCTGCATCCCGTCCCCACCCCTTGGTTACCCAGGATCTTAACTGAAAAAAAAAATCACAACCCAGAAGGAAAACAGCTTCCAGGATCCATAGTGAGCATGGCAGGGGAGGAATCAGGTTACTGTGGCCTGTGGCTCAGTGGGAAGAGAACCCAAGTTGCTTTGGTGAGCTCCCAGCCTATTTTGCCTAAATTGCCCATCTACTCCTCATTTACCAGAAAGCACAAGGTAGGGGCATGAACTGAACACTTGGGTTTAAAAAAACATGGGTCAGGAGATATATGCCCCAGACCTTCCCAGTAATTAAATCTTCATGGGGCTGCCACCACTGAGACGGGAGAAAGTGAACCATTTTGTAGGCGTGTTCTCCGTGTGTCTTAAACAACTAGTTCGGTGGCTTGTCAGGCTAAAGGGCTGAGTCAGCATAAGTGCATTTGAGGAAGAGTAAGACAGGCCCTGAACCAGCTATGTTCTTTTCATAACGTAAACAGCAGGACAGTGAGGAAGGCCTGCCCTGGAGCGCTGGCTTGCTCGCTCTCGCTGGGCTGCATGCTGCACCAGAGGACCTTTGAAGAATTGGTTTGGGATCAATTCTTTGATGACACACTTTCCTTCTGTGTTTACCCAGATGCTCTCCAGCACTCTCCCCACTACCAAGGCTTTCATCATTACAGGGGTGATTCCTCCACACACACACACACACACACACACACACACACACACACACGCACGCACGCACGCACGCACGCACGCACGCACACACACACGCACGCATGCACGCACGCACATACAAAAGACCAATTTTGCATCACAAGCAAACACATCCCATTTTCCACTGTGGCGTATCAAGCACCAGCCATGTTAAGAATTTCCAGCAAGCTGTGGTGCCAGCACACACAGAGGGGGGAAAGCCAGAGTTGCAGAATGTTTGAGAAGAAACTTTGACCTTAACCAGTGTCACAGATGAGGAGATGCTGTGTCAGCTTTGGGAATTTGTCTACCAGCTTTTGTATGTATTGCCTTTGCTTTTTAAAAGCAAAAGATATTTGTTTCACAGATTTGGGGGTGGTGGCGGTGGTGCTGGAGTCCAAAGGAGAACATCAGATCCCTCTTGGAGCTGGAGTTACGGTGGCCGTGGCCCAATGGATATTGGGAACTTAACTCAGGTCCCAAGGAAGAGCACCAAGCACCTTCAGCCATCTCTTCAGTCCCCTCCCCCCCCCAAATATTTTTAGTACACATAAAACAACATCTTCTTTTCTATTGTCCGTGTGTGTATGGTATGGTATACAGTGCATGCACACGAGTGTGTAGCTGTGTGAGCTAGTGCACACCCATGCAGAGGCCAGAGGAGGGTAACCGAATGTCACTTTGTGCCTATGGCCTTGAGCCCGGGTCTCTCACTAACCCGGAAGCTATCATATCTACCAGACTGGATGGCTTCCAAGTATCCAGTGTCCTCCCATCTCTAACCACTTCAGGGTTGGGGTGACAAGTCTCTTCAGCCATGCCTGGCATTTTACCTGGCTGTTGGGGATTTGAAATCGGGTCTTCATGCTGACACAGATACTCCATCTCACTGAGCTATTTTCTTAGCCCCAAACAATGCCTTCTTCTTTAAAAGGATTTACAATTGTTATTTATGTGTATATGTCTCTGTCCCTGCAAGAATGTCACTTGTGGGCAGGTGACCTTGGAGGTGAGAGAAGGCATTGGGTCCCAGGAGCTGGAGTTGCAGATGGTTGTGAGTGGCCCAAGTAGATGGTGGAACAAATTCAGATCCTCCTGGAGTGCAGCCAGAGCTCATAACCACTGGACGATCTCTCTAGCAGCAGCCATGTCCTCTTTAAAAACCCAAAATATCATTTAAAAGTAGTACATACTGCCAGTTGCTTAGATTTGCAAGCTGAATAAATTCTAAATCAGAGACGTTGGAATTAATGAGATATTTTCCTATTTGCTTTTGGAATGTGTTGAGCAATTTGATAACTCTCAAATCACCCTGAACTAGGGAAATCAAACTCGTATGATCTTTGAGCCTGCACAAGAAGCATGGATTTCTTTATCTTACACATGCCAGGGTTGATAGAGTTAAATGGGAACCCAAATGAGATTTTCTGAGTCTTGAACGTTAATATGTACTGCATTAGTCCTGAGATGGGTAGGGGCCTTCATAACAGAATAGAACACATGCCAAAATCCGGTATCTTAAAGCAGTAATGCAGACTCCTGCCTTCTGATTAAATTCTTCAGATATTAAAATTTGGTTTGACCTAAATTCAAAGTGACTCGGTGTTTTATTTTCCTGTAAATTTCAGGGAAGTTCACATTGAGGCAGAGGAGCTGCCTTGAAATCACTCTTTTATTAAGGCACTCATACCAAAAAAAAAAAAAAAAAAAGCATCAAGTACTAAAAGTTTCCATCTGAGAGAATGACCAAAACAAGTTGAGTTCAAATGGCAACAACAACAAAAAATAAAATTAGAAAATTCTGTAATTAGACCTCAACATGGAAATATGTTCTAAATAGTTCCAGTAATTGTGAAATAAAGAACAGGGATTGTCAAAATTATTCTCTCTCCCTCTTTCTCTCTCTCTCTCTTTCAGGAGCTGGTTCTCAGTGTCTTTCCTTGTGCTCATTAGCATCACAGAATGTGAGTGCTGGCAGACTCATTATTGAGGGACCATGCTGGAGAGTCACTGCAGCTGCCTGGCATTTGGAACCTGTTAGTAGCAGGGGAGAGGACTGGAAAGCAGCCTCAGCTTCCACTGAGCCGCCGCTGGGCGGGCCAGGGTGTGGATAGGGTGAGTGGACATCTCTGAGAACTCAGTGACTTGTGCCCTTTGAGTTTTTCCTGGGAACCAAGTCAATTTGAAGCCATCCATCTCCCCCTGTGCCTTTCCTCAAGATGCCATTTTCGGTCAGATTTCCTGTACTTGAGAAGGGAGCTATGAAAGAAAGGAGAGGAGAGGAGAGAGAGAGAGAGAGAGAGACTTTACATCTTACTGAATCCCACCCCAACTCCAAAAATAGACCAGTTGATCACTAGACCTAGGGATATCCCTTTCTCTCCGTCATCAGCACCCATATTCCAAGTGTATCTCCATTCCCAGCTTTTATGAGAGGATTTGAGGCACTCAAACACAGGTCTATATCCTTGTGTGTCCCCTACTGGACCCACTGAGCTCGGTTCCCCAAAAGCCATTTTTATAGAGAAAACGTTCAACAATGTCAAGTTAAAGTGGACCGGGTTCAGATTCAGAGTGTTCTAGAATAGCTAGCATCAGCGAGAAGAGCAAGCAGGTGTCATCCACTAAAACACTCTTTAAGGCCTGCAGAATAGAAGGGCTGAAGTAGGAATCTGAAGAAAATGTCTGCACACTGCATTCTAAAAATCTGGTTGCCATGCTTCTGATTCAGGGCTAAGATGCTTCGGGGAATTCTGTCTCTCGAACCTCCAGCCTCTGGAAGGTATAAGAGCTTGACCAAAGTCCCAGAATCATTATCATCTGAGTTGAGTCTTGTGCCCAGGTTTCTCTGTTGTTCTGAACTGGTTGAGAATGTTTCCACTTTTTTGGCATTTCAATGAAAATTCATCTATGAAAGCAGGAAAAGATCTGTCTTGTCCACCAAAGTTCTGGGCAGTAATATAATATATACTTAAGGAATGTCGGAAGAATGAAAGAAATCCAGACCTCCATAGTAATCAATTCTCACAGTAAAGCCAAATAAGATTATGATAGGCCCAGTTTGAGTCCTCAGCTGGTTCCTACAGAAAGATTAGAAATTTTATTCTTGGCCGGGATTATGCATACATCAAAAAGAATCTACCCCCCAAACCTGTTGGAAATCTTAGAATGTAGCTTAGTGGTAGAGTGGTTGACCAGCATGCATGCAGTCCTGATTCTATCCACAACATCACAATAGTTGGTGATGGTGGTGATGATTGATAGTGATGGTGGTGATGATGGTGATGGTGATGGTGGTGACGATGGTGATGATGGTGATGGTGGTGATGATGGTGATGGTGATGGTGGTTGTGGTTGGTGGTCATATTATTGTAGGGAAGGTCAACCACTCTTCTTTTCAAGTTTATCATATTTAAAGCATTAAATGAGCCTATTAAATTCTTAGTAGAGGATAAGTGCTCAATAGCTCTGCTGCTGGATTTTTATTGATATCAAATTGAAGCCTTCATCTTGAAGTTCCTTCCAATTTGTAGAAATGTGTCTGAATTAGCCATTGCTGTTTAATAACTGGATCTAGCACATATGGCATCATTTTAGTGAA